TCACGCGACAAAGAGCGTGAGAGAGACCGCAAGGACCGTAAAGAACGAGACCGCGACTATGACTATGATCGTGAAAAGGATCGCTCTCGTGACAAAGACAAGGAGCGTAGGCGGCGCCGCGATCGCGAAGCTGAAGACGACGAGCGTGATTATGATGATGACAAGTACCGCTCTTCGCGTCGTAGCCGCAAGGACCGAGATCGCGAGCGACGGGACTATGATGACCGTGAACGCAAAGACAAGCCATCTCAACCGGAGAAAGAAGAGGATGTTGTTGGTCAAATGATGAAGAAACGCGCTGTGTCTCCACCACTGAACGCCCCGACCGGGCCTTCAGCAAATGGCTTCAGCATCAAAGGCCGCTCGAAGAACGCTGTCATGCCCCCACCGGCCCAGCCCCCAACAGGCCCACGTGCTTTCCAGCCACCCAAGGGTCCGGCTGCCGACCGCAATAAAGAACGTAGTGGAGATGCTAGGGATCACCGCCGCAAGAGCAGTGTCAGCTCGGCCGCGAGTATCCCAACCGGCCCTTCATCAAAGGAAAAGGAAACTTCTCAGGACCACTACGCTGCTGAAAGAGAACGCAATGCCCGAGAGCGAGACAGTCGTGAACGCGTTGAAAAACCCTCCGGTTCGAGCAAGTCCATCCATTCGCGTATGTCATCGACATCTCGTTCAGCCCTGTCTAGTAAGCGCAGCAGAGATGACTTTGATGACGAAGCTCCTGTTCCCAAGGGTCCTAAAGCCGACGTCAAGCCCCCTACGGGGCCTGCATCCCACCGCGACAAACGTAGGAAGTCTGGAACGACTGGTGATGACAACATCGCCAACCTCTTCACAGCCGGCCTGCGCAAGAATGCTAAGGCCAGGCGCGGGGGTGTAAGGACTGAAGGCGACGTTGAACGTGAGATGATGGAGCGAGAGCGGGAGAGGCGCTAGTATGGCTCTTTTGATCTTGCGTACATGGACATTATTATGTGCTATAAAGGAATGATTGGGCTAAGAGCAATTCGAAGTGGTAATGTGGATAACCTGGGGGATTCTGGAGGAGAGCTGAGCTGCTTCTCTACTTCTTTGTATTATACCCTTTGATGAACTGAGCGGGGTAAGATAGGTGGAAGAGCGTGTGAATGCTGTACGCTCTGTCATTAGCTTAGGCTAATACTAATAAAAGATATTCCTGAATCGAGTTGAACGATGCGGCATGGTGAAGATGTGGTTTGTTCGTGGTATCATTTACTCTTTTACATCTAGTTCAAGACGAAGTTAACATCAAGCTAGTCAACCCCGTAAAATCTACCGCCTGTGGTTGACGAACTCCTTTTGTTCACCACCCAATCTCGAAGCTACGACAGTAGCTTCCCTGATTGCCTTTGCGACGGCGCCCCTCACGCCATCTTCCTCGAGTGACATGAGACCACCGATGGTGCAGCCCCCAGGCGTCGAGACCTTGTCCTTCAGCACAGCTGGGTGCTCACCGTTCAACACAAGTCCTGTGGTTCCCCTCATGGTCTGCGCGGCCATCATCTGTGCCTCCGCTCTTGGCAAGCCCATAGCCACAGCACCATCCGCCGCGGCCTCCAGTATCAGCGCAAAGAATGCTGGGCCCGAACCACACAGCGCAGTCGCTGCATCCATGTTCGCTGGAGGAAGGTTCGTAACGCGGCCAATTGAGCTGAAGACGAACTCGACAAGCTTGTACTGTGCCTCACTGAGTGGTGGATCCGAGGTCTGAATCACAGACATGGATTCCCCAACGAAAGATGCCGTGTTGGGCATGACCCTTACGACACGGCAAGCGTTCTCCGTCTTCTCAGGACCATCTGGGTACAGGAACGCTTCAATCTGCTCCCTAGTCACACCGGCCAGAATGCTAACAAGCACCTTGCCCTTGAGCGCCTCCCTCACACCCTCCTCACCCAGTATCGTCTTGAAGCCATGCGGTTTGCAGCTCAGTAGAACAATGTCTGCTTCTTGAACACCCTTGAGGTTCTGGTTTGTGAGGGTCTGGAGAGGGAAGTTGTAGTGGCCGAGTGCCTTGCGGACGTTTTGTTCAGCGGGGGCCCATTGGTCGCAAGCGATGAAGTTGGAAAGGTTAGGGACGTCTTTGGGGGCCGAAGAGGGGTCGAGGGAGGCTTTAGTTTTGGCCGAGGCCAGGGAAGACATAACGCCGCCCATTATCGCTATGCCCATTGTTCCTGGGGTTGTGTTAGTGGGGGTTCGAGCACCATTACAGACGCGTTAGACGTTGAAGGGCTTGAGGGTTGAGTTCTGTGAGGCGAGTATATTTCAGAAACACAAACGGCTCGCAGTGCTATTGATACAACCATAGGCTCTTTCAAAACTTAATCGCAGCGCCCGAGTGGTCTTTTGCTGGGAATAACGTATGAAAACAGTAAATATCGACCTACCTGAACCGAGAACGGTCAATGTAAGAGGCTTGGATTCCTGTGCGCTTGCCATCTTCAATACTGTCTTCTGTAGATCTTGCTGGGTGGTGGTGTTGGACAAATGCGAAGGAAGATGACTGCTGAGTTACTGGAGCGCGAGATCGGCGGCCTTCCCCACGTCCACTTAAAGAAATCCTGAGCTATGACCATGGCCGATGGTATGCGCGCGCAGCTCTCGAAGCTCTCCACTCCACGCAGGCTATCGCACACCAAGACACATCGCTCCACACTACCCCGACCACTATACCGACAATACTACCGGCAAGCTTGTAGTAGCCAAACGCTTTCTTAGCTTTCATCATGGCCGACCCATTCGAGGTCCGCCAACGCTTTACAACGCTACTCTCTCACCTCAGCGCATCGCATACCTCCCTCCAAAAAGCCGCGTTCTACGCGCTCAAGAATCGCGAACTGGACGAAGACCTTCATTCCTGCATTCTCGAACAGCTCGAACGCACCAATATGAACACGCGCGCAAACATCATGTTCTTCATCGAATGCCTCTGCGAATACGCCGTAAAAGACAACAACTCAGGAGATCCCAGCGCAATGGGCTACGTCCGCATGCTGCAAAGAGACATCTTAGCGGTTGTCGAATGCGTAGTGGGTGAAGAAGGAGCAAACATCCGCGTTGTGCGCAAAGTCCTGAAGACCCTCGAGAACCTCTCCATCCTGTTGAAGGAAACTGTTCAAGAACTTGAAGCTGTTCTAAAGTCCAGAGAGGTTGCACATCCATTTATGGCAACCGATTCCTCCAATCCCAAAGATGGCTCCACAACACTACCAAGTCGGAGTGGAGGGCAGAGGATGGATAAACGGCAGATTGAACAGAGAATTGAGGAGGATAGAGAGAGACATAAGAGGATGCGGGAGAGTATTTGGGCGGTGCCTGGAGATGGGTATGAGGAGTTGGAGAAGCTGTGGGAAGAGGCTAGCGACATCAACGAGGATGACTATGTCACGGCAAGGGAAGATGCGGAGGAGAGGAGGAAGGTCATTGCTTTTGGGTAGGACCCTAGCAAAGACTGGGAGAGCATTGAAGCTTGGCAGAAGGCCAAGGCTGCCGCGGAGGCTTCTGCGGGGTCTCTAATTACTGCAAGACAAGAGGACTCAGGGAATGATGCAGACAGCGAGAGTTCGAAGATGCTGTCATTTGGAAATGGCTCCTAGAACAGTATGCGGAAGGAAGTTCATCCGGATTCCTGGCGTTCATCGGATCCATAAAGGTATTGTCACAGCATGAGCTAGGCGTTAGGGCAGAGATACCACGGGCTTGTCTTATGACGCCCACATTGTTATTGGAGTTTTGAGTATACTGAATACATCCATGATCATTCCAAACATATCTGTACACGCCCATGTGCAATGCTATGATACAGTGTCCGTCTCTTCCTCGCTTCTGCACCGTCCCCTACTCCATAACAACCGTAGCACCCAGCGCCTTGAGGGTCTCAACAATCTTCTCTGCCTCCTCCTTTGGCACACCCTCCTTCATCATCTTAGGTGCTCCTTCAACAAACTTCTTGCTGTCCACCAAGCTCAACCCCAGCATGGCCTTGATCTCCTTGATGACCTTGGGTTTCGCGCCGGCGTCGAACTTCTCGAGCTTGAGGTTGAAGAGGGTCTTTTCTTGGGCAGCGGGGGCGGCTTCTTCCTCTTCGACGGGGGCTGCGGCTGCGGGGCCTGCGCCTCCTCCGGGACCAGCGACGAATCCGCCCATGGGCATGTCGGGGATGTTCAGGCGGGTCTTTGGTCGAAATGTTAGCATATATGCGTGTAGAGCTTTGGCGTGCTGGTGGAGGCGGTCGTAATTCCAAGTGTGCCAGAATCAGCACCCAAGTCAGTAGACATAGACAGAACGACTATTATGGCATATCGCTTTGGGTTTTCATCGCATGCCACCAATATTCGGTTGACTGTCTGCCACCGCCACCTCCGCCCCACGTTGATGTATCCGTACCTTTAGTGTTGATACCAAGTCCGCAGTCTCCAACAGAGTCAATTGGCTAATCTGGTCCACGATTGTCGCAATCTTTGGGTTGGTCGGAGCTGCCGCATCTGATTGCCATCTCCGCTGTATCCTCTGCTGTGTGGCGCCAATCGTCGGTCGTACGTATGCGGACTGCTTTGCGGTGCAGATACAGCGCCTGAGCGCGCGAGATGCTGGTGCTGCCATTGTGCTGGACGAGAGGGCGTGGATCAATGATGATTGCACGTTGTGGTCGTGCCTGCCATCATGAGATTTTGCGGAGCGGATTACGACTAATCAGGTTACCGTCTTGGCGTTCTCAAAGACCCGCAAAAAAGTTAGAGAACTTCGAGGCACTCAGACATCACCGCCACAACACCACCTTCCGGGCATATTGAAGCGTCGAAACTATGGGAAGGCGCCCCGAAAGCGAATCACGAATCAGTCCTTGCAGAAATGGAAGCAATTAATACTCGCAAGACCGGTGAAATGGTCAATATTAACGCGCTTGTTACCGAAGCGCTGAAGCCTGGATCGACGGACGATATTTTCGTTCAACATGGTGGACTCCTCACAGAGCTATGTGCGCGGTGGATACAGTCTGGCGCGAAGACCGACGCGAAAGTTGCAGCTTTTGGACGATTACTACCACTTGCGCCTCATCTCGCAGAGCACGTGGAACGATTTCTATCACATACGTCAGATTCGCCAGTGATTGGATCTAACGCTTCAAATCATGCGACCACAGCGATTCAGGATTCGGATTTAATAGAAGTTCTGTTGGGAACCTTCCGACTCCTCAGCTACGACTGCAAGAACTTTACCCACTATGTACGACCACTAGCTCTAGAGAGCCTTTTCCACCACTCGAGCCGCATTGTGCGGTATCTGGCCATACGGACGCTTTGCATCTACGCGCACACAGCGGATTATGCAACCCAAGAGATCATCAAGAACTTTGTTGGAGACGGGGAGATTGAAGGCCCATGGGAAGGGCAACAAATCGACTACCGGTTCTTGTCGTTATGGGAAGAGAAGCGATGGAAAGATTTGCAAAAGAAGTTGAGCCAGACCAGTTCCACTGATGTGACTCAGGCAATAGCTGTGCAACAAGACCTGTCACCATATACGGTCAACGTCAATGGTGTCCTGTTGCCTCGATTAGACGGTGCACCATCCCAGGAGAGGCCTACTGAGCTGGTTCCGACAGCTACTACAGAACAGAACCTGAAGAAAATCGCCTATGGACTTCTTGAATCTAGCCCAATCCTACTCACTGGACTCGCAGGCTCAGGCAAGACGCTTCTTACCCGCCATTTCGCATGGCAACTTAACAAGCTGGATAAGATGGTTACCCTCCATCTGAATGAACAGAGCGACGCCAAACTATTAATTGGCATGTACACAACCGGAGCCAAACCGGGAACATTCGCATGGCGCGCAGGTGTGCTTACTACGGCTGTTCGAGAAGGAAGATGGATCTTCATTGAGGATCTCGATAGAGCACCAAACGAGGTCATCAGCACCCTTCTACCGCTCATCGAGCGTGGTGAGCTGCTCATACCTAGCAGAGGAGAGACCATACGAGCGGCACGTGGTTTCCGTATCATCGCGACCATGCGAAGCACCCTCAATCCACGGGGCCAAGAGATCATACCCCGTCAGAGTATGATCGGTCATCGATTTTGGAACTCAATTACTGTGCAAATGCCACAATTGGACGAATTCCGCCAAGTGATACACGCCAAGTATCCTGGGCTGCAGAAACACCTTTCCGGAATCATGGAAGTCTATGCGCGATTGGTGGAGCTGTACTCAGATGCAAAGTTCTCATCCGAGAACGGCACGTCGCTTCGAGCCATGACGCCACGAGATTTGCTCAAGTGGTGCGATCGGATAGCGGTGCTTCTTGGACAAAGTGCATCTTTCAACAACGCACAAAAGGACGACATATTCATGGAGGCATTCGACTGCTTTGCGGGAAGTCTCCGCACCGAGAGCGCACGGCTGAAGGTCATGTCATGTGTGGCTGAAGAGTTACATATCGATCCCCAGCGACGTGATCACCTACTACGAAATCGTGAAATCAAGCTTCAGGTACCTTCGAAGATCACGGCATCTGGTACTATCCAAATCGGACGAGCGAGACTGTCCAAGCATAAGTCTTCGAAGAAACTTGGCTCAGGGCGACCGTTTTCAACCAACGACTACACTCTACGGCTACTCGAGAAGGTAGCTGTAGCAGTCGATCGCCAAGAGCCACTTCTATTAGTGGGTGAGACGGGAACTGGAAAGACTACATGCATTCAGTATCTGGCTGAGCAGCTTGGCCGAAAACTGGTAGCTTTCAATCTGTCACAGCAAAGCGAGAGTGGCGACTTGCTTGGTGGATTCAAACCTGTCAATGTGCGCAGCCTAGTAATTCCCCTCAAGGACGAATTTGATGAGATCTTTGATACTACATTCTCGAGAAAGAAGAATCTACGGTTCATGGAAATGCTCGGGAAACGCGTCGCAAGAGGCGAGTGGAAGCGCGTGTGTGCACTCTGGCGCGAGGCACTGAAGATGGTAGACGCCGCCCGGAAGTCGCACGAATCACAAACGTCGTCCCCAGATCCCGACGGTGGTCAGCCAAAGAAGAAGCGGAAGATGGACTCATTACCTGTCAACTTTCCAACTGCTCGATGGGAGAAATTCGCAACTGACCTCCATGACCTAGAGGCGCAGCTCTCTGGTGGCTCAGAGGCATTTGCTTTCTCTTTTCTGGAAGGCAATATCGTCAAGGCAGTCAGGAATGGTGACTGGGTACTTCTCGACGAGATCAACTTGGCATCCTCAGATACTTTAGAGGCGCTTACTGATCTCTTGGGCGGAGGACCAGATGGAAATCCATCGATACTGTTAACAGAGACTGGCAACGTTGAACGAGTGGTCGCGCATCCCAACTTCAGAGTGTTCGCCGCGATGAACCCGGCAACCGATGTAGGCAAGAAGGATCTGCCGCCAGGCATCCGATCACGGTTCACGGAGCTTTATGTTGAGAGTCCAGACAGTGATGAGAAGAGCTTGCGCAATATTGTGGAGAAGTATCTGGGTGGTGATGGGACAGATCCAGCAATAGTACGAGTAGCACGCGATGTCACTACACTGTATCTCGACATCCAAAGGCTCGCCAAAGCCAATATGCTCGTGGATGGCGCTGACCAAAAAGCTCACTTCAGTCTACGAACATTGACACGAACACTGTCATACGCCAGGGATATTGCACCTCTCTGCACCCTCCGTCGAGCCTTGTATGAAGGTTTCCACATGAGTTTCTTGACATTCCTAGGAAAGGCTTCTGAAGACCTAGTCGCGCCACTCATCACCAAACACCTGTTCCCTCAAAAAGCTTCCATGAAGGCTGAGCTCGGAAAGCCCCTTCAGCAACCTTCGGATGGTCGAGGCTACGTCAGACAAGGCCACTATTGGCTACGGCAAGGTGTACATGATGTGGAAGAGCAGTCGCACTACATCATCACCCCTTTTGTTCAACGCAACATGAACAACCTCATCCGAGCCGCTTCTACACGAAAGTACCCAGTGTTAATTCAAGGACCTACTTCGTCCGGTAAGACAAGTATGATCGAATATCTCGCCAAACGATCAGGGAACAAGTTCGTCCGTATCAACAATCATGAGCATACCGACTTGCAAGAGTACTTGGGCTCGTATATCTCTGGTGCTGACGGAAAGCTCACATTCCAGGAAGGTATTCTGGTGCGAGCACTTCGTGAAGGCCACTGGATTGTCCTAGACGAGCTCAACTTGGCACCCACAGACGTTCTGGAAGCCCTCAATCGCCTGCTCGACGACAACCGGGAACTTCTCATTCCGGAAACACAGGAAGTTGTTCGGCCGCATGAGGACTTCATGCTCTTTGCCACGCAAAATCCGGCTGGATTGTATGGAGGACGCAAAGTTCTATCACGAGCTTTCCGTAACCGATTTCTGGAACTACACTTCGACGACATACCGGTAGAAGAGTTGACTGAAATTTTACATCGCCGCACTATGATCCCGGAAACATGGTGTAAACGGATCGTGAAAGTCTATCGGGAACTTTCTACACTTCGACAAGAGAATCGCATCTTTGAGCAGAAGAGTTTCGCAACGCTACGAGACTTGTTCAGATGGGCACAACGAAAAGCAGACACCGTGCAGGATCTTGCAAACAATGGTTACATGCTTCTTGCAGAGCGTGTGCGCAAAGAGGAAGAGCGAGTCGCTGTCAAGAAGATCCTAGAAACCGTGATGAGCGAGAAGGGCCCCAAAGTGACGATTGACGAAGAGCGGTTGTTCAGTCCCGACAGCTTGTCGAATATTGAGGGACTTAGCAATGGTGTGACCAAAGTCAACACTGCTGTTGTTTGGACACGCGCGATGCGTCGCCTTTCTGTCCTTGTTGCACATGCTATCCGTAACAATGAACCCGTCCTACTTATTGGAGAGACGGGTTGTGGAAAGACGACCGTCTGCCAACTGCTCGCTGATCAGTTCAACAATCGACTTCACATCGTCAACGCACACCAGAACACAGAGACTGGCGATTTAATAGGTGCCCAACGACCCATCAGGAACCGAGCTGCCATCGAAGACTCTGTGAGGGAGCAGGTGCTCCAGGCACTCACCGGAATCTCAAGCGAAAGCCTGCAGAGCGATCCGACTTCGCTGGGCTCCGAAGAACTTATGGCGTTGTACGATAAAGTCGCGAAAGAATCGCCTGATTCTTTCCCTGACGAGGTTCGCAAATCTATACTGGTCGGCCGAGCTAAGGCCAGTGCCTTGTTTGAATGGGCAGATGGTAGCTTGGTACATGCGATGAAACAAGGTCACTACTTCCTCCTTGATGAGATCTCTCTAGCTGATGACTCTGTTCTCGAGCGTCTGAACAGTGTCCTTGAACCTTCACGGAGTCTACTGCTTGCAGAGAAGGGTCCTGTTGACTCGCACATTACAGCTAGCGACGGATTTCAGTTCCTTGCAACTATGAACCCAGGTGGAGATTATGGTAAGAAAGAGCTCTCGCCAGCCCTTCGGAATCGCTTCACGGAGATATGGGTTCCTGCAATGTCAGATCTTGATGACATCCTGGAAATCGTACGATCGAAGTTGAAGCCTAGCCTAAGTCACTTCGCTGGGGCCATCGTTTCATTCTCACAGTGGTTCAACGACAAGTACAACACGTCCGTCGCATCTTCGATATCAATTCGTGACACTCTAGCATGGGTGTCTTTCATCAACGACATGAAGCACGACGATCCTATATTCGGTGTCGTTCACGGTGCGGCAATGGTTTTCATCGATACACTTGGAGCCAACCCAGCAGGCTTGCTTGCCATCTCTGCAGCCACGATCGATGACGAGAAGACGTCATGTCTGCATCACCTGAGCAAGCTCCTGGGTCAAGACATCGCACCCATGTACTTTGGAGCCATTGACATTGCGAGCACTGAGCATTCCTTCCGATTGGGATCTTTTTCTATCCCCAAGTTCTCGTCGGCAGCCTCGCAGGCGTCGAACTTCGCGCTGGAAGCACCGACAACTCGTTCCAATGCGATGCGTGTGATCCGCGCCCTACAGCTTCCAAAGCCAATCTTATTGGAGGGTAATCCTGGTGTGGGTAAGACTACGCTAGTCACTGCCCTGGCTAAAGCTATCGGCAAGCCTTTGACGCGTCTCAATCTTTCCGAACAAACGGACCTTATGGATCTATTCGGATCAGACGTGCCTGTCGAAGGAGGCTCTGCCGGTACTTTCGCTTGGCGTGACGCGCCGTTCCTCAAAGCCATGAAGAATGGTGATTGGGTACTTCTTGACGAGATGAACCTGGCGTCACAGTCCGTACTTGAAGGTCTCAACGCCGTCCTTGATCATCGTGGGGAGGTCTATATCTCCGAGCTGGACCAAACATTTCATAAGCACCAAGACTTCAGGGTCTTTGCCGCGCAAAATCCGCACCACCAGGGCGGTGGCCGTAAGGGACTACCCGCATCCTTCGTCAACCGATTTACTGTCGTGTATGCCGACGTTTTCCGTCCAGAAGACCTTACCCTCATTTGTAATAAGGTTTTCCCTGGCATCGAGGAGCACGAAGTGGCTAAGCTTATCCGATTTGTGGCAGAGTTGGACGACCAAGTGGTCAATCGACGCGCATTCGGTACCCTTGGCGCACCTTGGGAATTCAACCTGCGTGATACCCTACGCTGGCTGCAGCTTCTCACCTCGAAAGATTTTCCAGGTTCAGCACGCGACTTCTTGGACACTATTTTCGCCCAGCGCTTCCGCTCAGAGAGCGATCGTGTCCGGCTACATAGAGTATTTGAGAGCCAGTATGGCGTCCACCAGCCACGCATCAGTCTCTTCCACAATCTGAGCACACAGGCTATTCAAGTCGGCCTAGGCTTGCTACCACGCGACACTGCACTGACCCGACCAGATCCTATGTCAACCCTGCGCTCCTCGCAGCTAGGTCCAATGGAAGCTCTTTTGGTCAGCGTCAAGCAGAATTGGCCAGTCATCATCGTTGGTCCACCGGGCTCGGGTAAGACTGCTATGATCAATCAATTAGCAAGCTTTGTCGGTACGGACCTGATCACCTTCTCCATGAACGCAGATGTTGACGCCATGGATCTGGTTGGTGGGTATGAGCAGTTGGACCCCACACGGGAAGTCCATCGATACCTTGGGCAGGCGGAAGAAATCATCCGAAGACATCTCGCGACCAGCACAACACATTCGGCCGTGCATCTTCGACTATTGGAACATCTTCAGGCTAGCTCCTTTACGAGCGACAGTGGTGGTGCGGTACAGTTTCTCGAAAGCCTTGCAGGACTCAGCCCTGAAGCGTCTGAGCTGGCCCACAAGCTGCACTCGTCACTCCAGGCTTCCCATCAACAAATCGATGGCGCACGTTTTCAATGGGTCGATGGAATCCTTATCCGCTCGCTTGAGCAGGGCAAATGGCTCGTGCTTGACAACGCAAACCTGTGCTCAAGCGCTGTTTTGGATCGATTGAACTCGCTACTGGAGCCCAACGGCTACCTTTCAATCAACGAACATTCCACAGATGATGGCGAAGCACGCATCGTGCGCCCACACCCAAACTTCCGTATTTTTATGACCATGGATTCGAAATACGGAGAGCTGTCAAGAGCAATGCGGAACAGAGCTGTCGAGATATTTTTGCTAGAAGGCGATGATAAGGCTATTCAAAACGACCGACCGGTGGTACAATATCCGCTTGACTCCACTATGTACCGGTATCGCCGATTTCAAGAACACGAAGACCATCTGTCGGCAACTTTGGAACAACGTTTCGAGCATTTGGGACTCCAGGACAACGACTTGTTGGCAGGTTTTACCAAGCAAGCACGACAAGGTCTTGTATTGACTTCCTCTGTGCTACCGAATCGAGCCAATGATCATGACTACACACAGCCATCACCCGTGGTAGTCCAAACAGGTATCGATCATCGAATTCAGCAATTTTCTGGGTTCCTGGAGACAACATGGAAACCACATGCGACGAAGGTTTACAACAAGCTAGGAACAGAGGAGCTGATAAGACTACGTTCTTACCATCCCTTGAACAACGAGCTGTTACTCAATCATACGGAAGAATCGAGAACACTGAATGTCTGGAGTGCGTCCATGTACGAGGTCATGTTTGATCTGTACAACATGCAACAGGCTATCCAAGACCTCCCATCCGCTCGATTCGAACGCCGCAAAGAGAGGCAGAAGCTGCCGGCGTTCCTGCATGCATACTGGCAAGGTATGGTCAAAGTCGCGGAAGGCTTTTGGAATGCGCTTCAGCAAGATCATCAATTCGACATTGCTTTCCTCAAGCCATTGCGAACGTTGTTCTGGGCCTTCCACGCTCTCACTACTGCCTCCACGTTCGATCGTGCCACTTTCCAGACATATCTGAAGATGTTGGCATCAGCTACTCCCGCCATAGCTGGGGAATCAGGTTCTCTCATACAATCTATGAGTAATGCACTCTCCAAGCAGATCGCTGTGTTTGGGTCTGACGTTCAGCTCACCACTGGCATGGGCATGGAACATATCTGGCGCGTCTTCAAAGCCTCTACGCCTACGACCCACAGTCAGCTGAATGCTATCTTGGAACTGGAAAGTTTGGCTGACAGACTTGATGCGGTTATGTGGCAGTCAACTCTACGCGTGGATGAGATGGTACAGCTACGCGAAAGAGTCGCTAGCTCCTTAAGCCTCGTTCGAAAGAATCAAGTAGATGCCAAGGAACTTGTCACAGGTCTCAGTATAGCGATTCATGATCTGGAGCAGAACATTGGCGAAGACAACATGTTGATCACTCCATACTTCGAGGACGAATTTGAGGGTCTCTGTCAGTTCCTAGACATCGCGCGTGACGATACCGATACCGAACGGGATGTATCGCTTACAGCAGCTGTTGTAAACACCCGCGCAAAGTCAGCCCTATTTGCCCGACGTGCAACCAAACTCGTAGATCTCGCGTTTGGGCGATCTTATCATGGATCGGTGCATTTCACCAAGTTGTATCGCCATCTCGGGCTGACGCGCAAGTCGGCGAACGCTATGGTACTTCAAGGCCGATTCCACACTGCAGTACTTGGAAAACTATATGGTGCTGATGAAGTTCAGCTGGCACAGCTCGACCGGTTCGAGACAGAATTACAAGTCCTCTCCCAACAGGTATCACTTGATGCTGGCCGCATAACGAAAGACCAAAATGTCGCGCTGGACCTACTTTACAAGGATATTTATAATGAGATCATCTCATCGCACTCCAACATAGTTGTTGAGATGGCGAGTGGAGGCTCTGCTATAGTATCCTCGGGTGCCAATATTCCCGATGTCTATCGATCGACTCTAGAGGCTGGCATCGCAAATTGCGCCCGATCGCCCGATTCTGTTGTCAACTCAGCAGCGTGGATTCACTTGGGTCTTCTGGGCTTACAGTTGTATGTCCCAAATTATCCACACGACCCCGCACTCAGACCTATGATCGAACGCGATATGTTCACCGCGGAGAAAAGTTCTCTTCTGAAAGCACTTGGTGCGTTGAGGATGTTCCAGGTTGACTCTACTGGACAAGACACAAGCTTCCGTATCCGACAAGTCGAGGATGTGATCAACAACATGGGTCAAGAGCCACCTGTGCCAGCTATCGTTCGACCTGCTATCTCCGAGCTCGATGATCTTCAAGGCGAGTTTACGAACTTGCTAAGCACTATTCAACCTCTTTTGAACCAGTCAATGTCAGTACAAGAAGCGGCCCATGACATCACCTTGCAGCAAAACATCCTTCGAATTATCCAGCGACTCACGGAAGGATATCGGGGATATGACGACATCACAGATATCGCAGTCGGCTTTCTCGCCTGTCTGCAGATTGGCCTTAACATGGGTCAGAGAGAAGAAGAGAAAAATGTCGAGAGCAATGTCACCAAGAGCTTGGCATACATATCGTCGCAGACGCCTTTCTTCGGTCGATCCAAGCCAATGGAGAGATCGGAATCGGTGTTGCAGACCATGGAAGAAAGCCTGGCTCAGCGCGAACATGCTATCGACCTCAGGTGGCACACTTTGAATTACTTGCTCGTGCTGAGCAATACTGATCCGGCTGCTATGACTACACCTGTAGCCAGAAATCTACTGCATGATCTGTTCGCTAGCTTGTACAGTGATTGGAAAACCAAGCTAGTTCAAGACCAGGAGAAAGAAGCGCAAAACTCAAGTCTGTACACTTATCGTGGAATGGATGACGACGAAGTTGACGAGGACCCGACACTGTTTCCGGACTACGACGCAGACCAGGAGGACGAGATCAAGCCAACCAGATTGCCCTCTAATTCTCGCGACTATGCCATCAGACTTGCCAACTTACATGCCGAGCTCTTCGTTCAGGGCAGGGACGCCTCGGACTCCATCAAGGCGCTACTAGAGTGGTGTGCTACGGAACTCAATCGTATATCGGGTAGCAAGAGCCATGGTAGCAAGCACGAAGACGTCTTGCCAACCATCTATCTCGCGCTAGAGAAGAAGATCAACGCGCTGTCAACCGCCAGCACAGCGAGAACCTACAATTTCTACTTCGATGCCAATCTTTCGGAAGCCAAGCGTCTCATCACAATTATTCACCGCATTCAGGCGCGTTACCGCCAGATCCGCAGAATCTGGCCTGAACACGCGACCCTCTCCGAGGTTCTACGCACGTGCGATGAAGCACTTGAATTCCGGCATGTCGACCCAGTCGCAAAGTTCATCACCAAGGCTGAGAAACTCTATGCTTACATGCATGAATGGCAGAAAGTCGCCAGCAAAGAATACAATACCGCGAACGTATTTGACGATCTTACTAAGCTCCTAGTCAGCTGGAGAGAGCTTGAACTTACCACTTGGGCTCGACTGTTCGACATGGAAGAGGAAAAATACCGTGACGATGCTAAGAGTTGGTTCTTTGTCGCGTATGAAACGATCATTGCTGCATCAGAGAGCAGCGAGGATGAGAAGAGCCTGCAGACGCATGTCAAGAACTTACTCAAGTCTTTGGAAGGTTTCTTCGAGGCGACCACGCTTGGTCATTTCGAGCAGCGAATTAAGCTTTTAAGACAGCTTCGCCAACACGCAGCTATGCGCATGCAAGATGTCGATGCCTTCACGATTGTGCATGCTGCACTAGACAACTTCCTCGCCTACTACTCGCGTCTTGAGAAACCAGTGCACGAAACTCTTACCAAAGGTCGCCAAGCCCTGGAAAAGCAAATCACCGATGTCATTAAGCTTGCAAGCTGGAAAGATACGAACATCGAGGTCTTGAAGCAAAGTGCGAAAGCTAATCATCGCAAGTTGACAAAACTTGTCCGCAAGTTCAGAGCATTGCTTAATCGTCCTGTGTCTGGTATAATGAACGCAGGCTTCCCAGATGAAAGTCATCTGCTGCATGACATCTCTTTGGAGAATGTCATCACTGCTACGAACCCTAAGGCGCTAGAACTCTGCGCAACCAAAATTCCCGGATGGGATGAGAGACCTACTCGCTTCAAGAATCTTGCTGTCACGGTCTCGATGATGCGCAATCTCACAACGCCAAAGACTGCCACTGTTGACGGCGCATCATACATCAGCGAATTTATTACTGACCTCTCAGGCTCTATCATCGAGCTACAGAAGGCTACACCCACTACGCTCACAGAGGAAAACAAGGCATCCGTGCAACATCTCAAGACCCAGAAGCGCAAGCTCTATGCCGATACGATGAAACTGCTGCGGCAGATGGGTATCAACTCAAACCTGAGTGTGGACACCTTAGCAAAGCAGGATGAGCTTTCGACAATACTCTCAACTATATCTCTGGTGAAAGGGAGTGAGAGCATTGGTCATGCTGCTGAGTATCATCTACACAAAGCTCTCAATATTATGCCTCAGGTCCGCGCAGTTACTAGGGAACACTCTGGTGATCTGACCGCAAACGATGTTTCAAGGAGTATTGGTTACTTGGAGGGCTTGTTGCATGCCTCTATCCGGCAGCGCAATGTGCTCAGCAAGGCTGCACGCAGTCTTGAACTGATCAATGCGCCAATGGCGCTTGTCGCCGACCTGTGCCAATTGGAGCACGACCAATCAACACTGGTATCAGAACACGTAGATGTATCAGGCTTCGTACAGCCGCAGCTTCGTTGGCTCGCTGCCATGCTCCAAACTGCAAGCGACGTAGTGAATGCGCAAGCCAGGCTTGGGAAGACGACTGAGCTTGATGCGTTGATCCGCGACTTGCGCGCTTGGGCCAGCACTGCCCAAGGCCTTGCTGATGCATACGACAAATCGCCAAAGCTGCCGCTCAACGTACAGTCCTTGGCTTACCAAGAAGTCAACGATTCCGTCAAAACTTTCCTATCAGAACTTCAGAGAGTTTTCGGCGTTTACGCTACTAACAGCGACATTGCGAGGACTGTACTTCAGCAGGTCGAACCGTTCCTATTCTGCTATCCTGCTACCAACGCTGTACGATCTTCCGACAGTCTGCGCATATCAGTTGAGGCTCATGCCAAAGATATACTCACTTCTCTGGATCTCGTCCTCGGTTCAATGCAAGATGTGCAGACTGCAATGACGGGCATTCCTGCCTCAACGGATGACGCGTCCTGGCTCCTTAAGGAGGAGCAAGCTCTTTCAGCTGCGCTGATGGCCCTGCACGCTCCTCACATCAGTGAAACCTTGCAAACCCTTCTCGACAAGATGCAACATCTTCATGAGGATGCTAACTTACAAGGGATAGTCGCTTTGTTCACTTCCGTCAAGCCCATTCTAGACCAATACGTGGCAACGCACAAGTATATCGTCAACCGTTTCGACGCTCTACATGCATCCACTGCAAACCTACTTCACCGCCTCTCGAAGTCGTTCATCCAAATCGGCACGCAAGGTTTCTGTCAACCTCCAGAGAAGTCGAATGATCCGCAGAAGGGCAAAGATGACAAGCTTGAGTCTGGTACTGGCCTTGGTGAAGGAGAAGGCGCTGAAGATATCTCCAAAGACATCGAGGACGACGAAGATCTCGAGGATCTGGCACAAGAGCAGAAGGGCGAACGTGAGGGAAGTATCGAAGAACAGGAAGATGCAGTCGATATGGGCGAGCAAGAGATGGAGGGTGAGACAGAGGAGGTAGGAGAGAAGGAAGATAAGGGCGACGAGTCTGGTGAGGAAGGAGACGACGATGCGCAAAGCGAAGTTGGCAGTGTCGATGATCTCGGCCCTAGTGCTGTAGACGAGAAAATGTGGGACGATGGAGGCAAGGAAGATGACGCCAAGGACAAAGAAGGAAAAGACGACGTAGGAACCGAAGACCAAGAAGAGCAGGTTGCTGCCGAGAAGAAGGAGGAAGAAAAGAGCGGCGAGGACAAAAAGGAAGAAGCGGAAGATGAAAAGAAAGAGGGCGAAGGAGAAGAGGAAGACATGGAGATGGAAGGCGAGGATCAGGAAGAGAACGTGGGTGCTGGTGAAAAAGAGCAGATGGATCCCCACGCAAAGGAAGAGGAGACATTGGACTTACCAGAAGACTTGAACATGGATGGTCAAGACGACGAAGGCAAAGAAGACGACGATCTTGGCGATATGGACATGGGTGACGATCTGCCTGAAGACGAGATGGATCCGGAGGTCGATCCCGGCCAGCCAGATACCATGGAGGAAGACATTGGCCCTGAGCAAGAAGGCGAGGATGAGAAAGACACGACTGGTCATGTTGAAGATGAGGAACAGCCAGAAGGAGAGCAAGGAGATGAAGGTGACGAGCCCATGGACGACGATGACGCCATTCCTCTTCCAGATGAAAACATGCCAGAAGATGAAGTTCGTGATCAGAAAGATACCGACCAAGCCGATCCCAATGCCGAAGCTGGTGCAGGTACCGAAGCCAACGAGGAAGCACACAAGAACAAGAATGAGCAAGCTTCCGCAAGTGCCGCAAACCAGGACGAAGGTCAAGAGGGAGAATCTGCCGAACAGCAACAAGCACCAACGACCGAAGACGGGCAGCTTGGACAAACAGCCGCACCAGACGCCGGCGGACACGGAGAGCAGCCTGAGGAGTCGAAAGAAACGCAATCTTTCAAAAAGCTGGGCGATGTGCTTGAGAAGTGGTACAATCAACAGAAGCAGATTCAAGACGCCCAGGAGAAGGATGAAAAGCAGGCTCAGCAGATAGACAAAGAGATCGACATGGCTGACGCGGACTTTGAGCATCTCGGCGATGAAGAACAGCAAGCTGATACACAAGCATTGGGTACCGCGACAGAGGACCAAGCGAAAACTCTGGATCACGACATGGCGCTTCCAATGAACGAAGAGGAAGATAAGATGCCGACTCGGCCGGAAGACAAGGACGAAGAGATGATGGAAGCTGATAAAGACACCGAGATGGAGGAGCCTGAGACGCAAGATCAAGACGAAGAAGCTCAGCAGCCGCAGTCGAACGCTATGGAAGGTCAACCGCAAGCTTTCGTCGGCGAACAAAGACCCTTCCCCGACCAAGAAGACGAAGACATGGCTGATGCTGTCGAACTTGACAATGACACTTCTTCTACAGTGTCCTCTGCAGACAACATTGAAGCCCAGCTCTCGCTCACTCACCTTGAACCATCCGCCATGGACCCCACGTCCGCACGTGCCCTCTGGCTGGCTCACGAAGCGTCGACGCATTCGCTTTCCCAACAACTCACAGAACACCTCCGCCTCATTCTCGCGCCAACTCTCGCTACAAAGCTCCGCGGCGACTTCCGCACGGGAAAGCGGCTCAACTTAAAGCGCATCATCCCCTATATCGCTTCAGGCTACAAGCGGGACAAGATCTGGCTACGACGCAGTATGCCAAGTAAGAGGAGCTACCAAGTCATGATTGCGTTAGACAACAGTGGCAGTATGGCCGACAGTGGTGCAAGTGGTCTCGCACTCAAAACCCTAACACTAGTTACCCGCTCGCTATCGATGCTGGAAGTTGGTGAAGTCAGCGTCGTGGGCTTCGGGGACGAAGTGAACGTCGCGCATGACTTTGACAAGCCATTCACTTCCGAAGCGGGTGTACGCGTCTTCGAGCAATTCGGTTTCGATGCTAAGAAAACAAATGTCCGTGGTCTGGTTGACAAGAGTCTTGAGCTATTCAAGGATGCTCGTCAAAAAGGATCAAGTTCAGCAGGTGAAGACCTCTGGCAATTGATGCTCATCGTCAGTGATGGTCTTTGCGATGACCATGCCGAGATCCAGCGCCTTGTTCGCAAAGCACAAGAAGAGCGTGTGATGATCGTCTTCATCATTATCGATAGCTCGGCCGCTGCTCCTTTCGTACCGGTACCAGCGCCATCTGACAGCCCAGGTGCCCAGCCGCCGGCGCCTGCGAAGGACCAAGCGAAAACCTCTATCTTGGACTTGCAGTCTGCTGTGTTCACCCCCGAGGGCAAGATCGTGAGGTACAAGTATATGGAGCAGTTCCCATTCAGGTATTACCTTGTCGTTAGAGATGTCAGAGAGTTGCCAGGAGTGTTGGCCGGAGCATTGAGACAGTGGTTTGGAGAAGTTGCTGGAAGTGTTTAGTGGGACACATGATGTATAGTGGCCAACGCACGCGCATGAAGCGGAGTTTGGGCTACCATAGGTGTTTTTGCATTCATGGAGTTGCATTGTGTTGGCGTTCTGGGTCTGGAAAATAGCTGGTGTATAGTACTAAATTTATTTTCGTACATATTTACAATTCACGTGTCCTCTCCAACGCACAGACCAATAACCGGTACTCTATGGGCAAGGCCTCCAGTAATCACAAAAGCACATTCTACATCCCTGTGACGTGACGAATCTGAGCGTAAGTCCGAAGAACCTGGCGGGTAACTCGATTAGGCTCACGGCTTGATTACATAATGACACTCGGCAATCGTCGGCTGTATATCTGTGACTGTACTGCCTTATGATATGTCTCGTATCTTGCTTTTCCGATCGTATGTTCCGACGCTCAGTTCGCTGCATTCTCGGACCTGGGAACTCGGATAAATTTCCATATTCTTGAGATCTGCGTGGCTCACTTTCCTGGGCTTAAACACCTACTGTCGTCAAACCAGTGCAGCCTGTATCCATCTCATCATCCTTCATAGATCCGTCATACATCTCTTGGATGCTGAACCTGTCTCCCTATCACCGACAGATCCAATGGGTCGACTGAACCTTGATGCGTTCGGCTCGGTTGCATTCGTGTGGAAGACGCTGGGTCTACCACAGGAAGCTCTCAACTCATTACATTTACCTTTAGATGCCAAATGCCTACCGTCCTCTTTCAAAGTCGACATTCTCGCACAATCCACCATTGCAACGTCTGCATTGGCGGCAGCTCTACTTTGGTCCGTTCGGAACGCATCCCCAATACCTCGGGTCACGGTTCCAGCCGAGCACGCGTGTGTCGAGTTCAAATCTGAGCGACTGTACACTGTCGACGGGAAGTCCGCGTCCCCACCCTGGGGTGCTATTGGTGGATTTCACAAAGCATCTGATGGATATGTGAGGATACACGATTCTTTCCCGAATCATCATCAGAACGCACTACATGTGCTAGGACTTCCACCAAATGCGACGAAAGAAGATGTCACTCGAGAAGTTTCGAAATGGAAAGCTGTGGAATTGGAGACCGAAGCATGGCGACGTGGAGCAGTAATCGCTGCGCTACGATCTATCGATCAATGGGAGGCTTTACCCCAAGCCAGCGCTATCGCGGATGCCCCTGTTCTCTTCGAGAGGATTGCACACTCTGAGCCGCATATGCCACCGCAGCCAACAACGGAAATGACGAACAAGTGCCTACACGGTGTTCGCGTTATCGAGATGAGCAGAGTTATAGCCGCACCAGTGGCTGGGAAAACACTAGCTGCGCATGGGGCCGACGTTATATGGATCACATCGCCATCTTTGCCTGATCTTCCTGATCTAGATATCGACCTGTCGCGCGGCAAGCGCACAGTACAGCTCGATATCAAGAAGGCTGAAGACAAGGCTAAGCTGCTAGATCTACTCTCCACAGCCGACGTTTTCCTCCAGAGCTATCGTCCTGGAAGCCTAGCGGCAAAAGGTCTCAGTGCGGCAGAGTTGATGGAAGCGAACCCAAGACTGATTGTGGCAAGTCTCAGCGCTTACGGTCCTGAAGGTCCTTGGTCTGAAAACCGTGGGTTTGATTCACTTGTGCAAACTTGTTCCGGTATTAATGTGGCAGAGGCCGAGCACTATGGCGCTAACGAGCCGATGCGCGTCCTGCCCTGTCAAGCATTCGATCATGGAGCTGGTTATCTTTTGGCGACCGGAATCATAGCTGCATTATACAAACGAGCCACTGATGGGGGCGCCTACGAGGTCAGCGTATCCTTAGCTGCTGTCGTGAAATATATGCGGTCCTTAGGCCGATACGATGGCAAAAGTGGATTCGACCGGAAAGATTTTCAGAAGCCGGAGGATGTCAAGCAGTATCTAGAATCGCGACACACACATCTTGGGGTCCTCGAGGCAGTAAGACACTCCGCCTGCATTGAGGGCCTGTCCGTCGGTTGGGACATCATGCCGAAACCATTGGGTAGTGATACGGCGGGTTGGCTTTGAGGGTCCGACAACATAGTGCTTGATATGATAGCACTGCATTCATGACGAGTATACTTGAATATCAATATCTGTCTCATCAATTTGATATTGAATGAACGAGGTACGTTGCCCTAGAAATCTTAGCCATCTACGATCAGCTCCGAGAAGCCAAGCGACATGGTACCGTCATCTTGGAGATCCGCGGTCGAGCGACCGTGATCGTGTTGTCCTGATTGTGACAAGCGTAGGTGTTGTGCATTATGTTGTATGGACGCATTCGGAGTGGTTGCAACATGCGTCCCAAAGGCGACTTCGCAGATACAGTCGCTGTGGAACCATTGACGTCATCGTCGCCCGCGTACCTGCATTAGCCCTCGCCCCTCTCCAAGCCATCCACGTCTGCCACTATTGTTCATCCTCGACGTCTTATCGACTCACTGCCTGGTAACCAGTCAGAAAATTCTTCGCCAATCAGCACCAACATCATGGCTGAAATCGCAGCAGGCGCTTATGTCGCTGCGGAAGTGGTTGAACACACCGCGGAAGCAGGCTACGCTGCTTACATCGTCTCCAAGCCAACGCTCCCTCTCAAGGTTACCTTTACACGCATAGCCACAGCAACAGGTGATACTTCGGCGTATGTACCTTACTATTTCTGTAGCCAGAACCCAGCTGACTTTCAGACGCTCGTTGGCACGCTCCAATCACACAGTCACAGTGATCGGTAACAAAGCTTATGTTTTCGGTGGCGACACTGCGAACAATGTTCTTGCTAGCAACCATGTGCATATCGTCACTCTTGAGTATTCTGGGAAACCAGAGATGGACTATAGTATCATCCCAGCTTTGCCAACATCTGAGGGTGGGAATACACCTACAGCAAGATCGAGTCATGCAGCCTGCGCATTTCATGGGAATGTAGCCGTATACGGCGGTAGCGACGAGAATGGCGGTCTGATCGATGAGCAATCCTCTGTTTGGCTCTTCAGCCCCGAGAGGAAAAGCTGGGATATTTTGCAACCATCAAAGGGAGATATCGAAACAGGAGACATTGGCCCAGGCCCACGTCGCAATGCCCAGCTTTTTGCGCATGATCAGCACCTGATACTGTTTGGAGGAGTTGATGGCTCTGGTGACAACGCATCAGATCTATGGCAATTCGACATCGCTGCGCGCTACTGGACGCAGCTTCCGACAGCACCAGTCGCAACATCGAATGCTGCACTAGCGAACGGTCAACTATGGCTGATATCTGGTTCCGACCCTATGAGCAGTCAGCTGCATCACATCAGCGTCTCCTCGTCGAGTGAAGAGAGAAAGTGGGAGTCTTTCACGTTTCCAACCAACCCACTAGCACCAGGCCCTCGTGCACGGCATGATGGAGCGCTACTGCCGGTAACTACTGGCTGGGGTAGAAACTACCTTGTCTATCTCCTTGGAGCTCGTAACAACTCTTCTGCTGACGTTTCGAACACTGAGCCAGAAGATCCCAAACATGCGGATGAGGTCACTCAGTTCAGCGACACCTGGGTCCTCCAGATACCTTCAAGTGACTTGGAGGCTAAGCCGTCGATGACGCTCAAGAACGCTATCAATCCAGCAAAAATCAAAGATGCTATCAGGTCTGCCTTGGGTGCTGATACAGGGCACCTGTCCTGGGCAGAGGCGGTAGTACAGCTACCTTCTGACAAGCAACTGGAGGAAGAAGATGGCAAGCTGCATCCTGGTCCGAGAGCATTTTTCGGTGCGGATGTTATGGAGACAGGCAGTGGTCTAATCTTCTGGGGTGGAGTGGACGCAAAAGGTGAGAGGGTTGGTGATGGATGGATCGCGAGGTTTGAGTGAGCAATGAGGTATCTAAGGACATGTGTTCTGATGGGGGCTGCAAAAGCGCATAATTACATTCGAGTTGCATATGTGCATCTTCTTGTGCATCTATCGATGATGTCCATCATTGAACCGTCTTTGCCATATCCTGGGCTTCCATGAGCTGGATGCGATCAAAGCTTGCGCCAGCAGGTGAAGGTTACAAGAAGTATATATTGGAAGGGATGTGATATGAATAGTGAAGAAAGAGACTGTGTACTGGTGCAGAAGAGATATCAACTGATGGAGTAGATGATGCTTTCCGGAGACGGATATAGCGTTATCCAACCGATCATCGAAAGAAAAGACGATGTACGTTTCAAGAAGCTCAAGCGTACAATTGACTTCTGCATGTTACAATATGCGTCCAATCCTGATGAGCAAACGATCGCAAAGCGGCGACGCCCACTCTGTGGTAGCCAATATCGTTAGCGTAATGTCTCATCATCAAAATAGCGGATACATGTACCATATGGCGATTGAGGATTTTGAGAAGCTTTTCATACCTAGCAATTGGCGACCTCTGAACGGCTCAACGGAACTCGGTGATAGCGTTCACACGAAGGACTTGCTTGTACAACCTAGAACAGAATATCTTTTGCTACGTTCAGCCACTTAGTCTCTACGATAGATGCCTGCTATCCAACAAGCTCTCAAAAGCGCGAGACCCCACGCCATCCCAATGCTATCCCAGACTACATTCAGCTTACTGCCCATGACCTCCTTCCACCCGATCGCAACTTCAATCATGGCGATATCAGCACTTTCAGCGAGCATCAACATCTCGACATCAAAGATCCAACCTTCAGAGTGCATGTACGGGACAATGTACGGCAACGCCGGTCGCGAGAACAGCTTGAAGCCGCACTGTGTGTCCTTGATGCGCGCAGTAGCCGGAGGTGTCATGATCCGCAGGAGGATGTGGAACGAGTGCATGAGAAAGTTGCGGAGCTTGGAGCGCTGGACAACGGCTTCACTACCGACAAGGTGAGCTCGTGAACCGATGGCGACACCACGTCCATGTTTGTCCTCTATGCTTTGGCAGCCATCGACAAGCGCTCCGAGGTCAGAGAAGCGACTTGCGCCGTCTGCGTCCGCGAAGACGATGTACTGGCCTCGAACGTGTCGCATGCCATGTGTGACAGCTCCACCTTTGCCTCTGTTCTCTTCAAGTGTAATGACGCGAATGCTGCCGTGTGGAATGTGTGTGGAATGTGGTGCCTTTGCGTCACCGTTTTTCGACCATGGCCCTGGCTTTGACTTTGGATGCTGGCTGAGTTGATGCTCCTTCGCAAACTCCAGCGCTTTGTCAACGGTGCCATCGGTACTGCCATCACTCACAATGAGGATCTCCCATCCTTTCTGACTCTTCTCACCCTTCCCACCAGCATGCGCATTGCCATATTGACTCTCCAGATAGTCAACGGCCTCTTCCAACATGCCCTCCAGACGCTCTTCCTCGTTGTATGCGGGTACCACGACGCTCATGAACAGCTCTGGTTCCTCAATAGGCATCTGGGGTGGTATGACAACCTTGCTTCCTGGCTCTTTCGCTGCTTCTTTCTTCGCTGCCTCCTTCTCTGCCGCCCATTTATCCAGCCAACACGGAAGTTCCTTTGGATGGCTTCTTGCGCCGTCGGGTAGAATTGTCGTGTATTGTTTCTCGGAGCGTCGTGGCAGTCGTGGAGTGGGTGCTAGGAGATTCAATGCTATGTAGAGCTATCACACGTAGTCGCATTAGTCGCGTGCATCACTTCAGATGCGCGTATGAATTCATACCCAGAAGCCCATTGCACATAGCAGAAAGCCCAAGCCTACGAGAAGGACCCATGTTGGGGGCATTTCAATAGCGCGCTTTGGGTGCGACTCGAAGCCATAACCAGCACCCAATCTCTGGGTATCGAAGGCGCGGTTCTCTTTCGACATGGCGATTGCGGGGCCCTAGAGAGGGCTGTCCAGTGATGATGCTACCGGAATGCTGTTGACATTGAGTTGGGGTCGCGACCGCTGAGACCCAAGCTTGGAGCGACTCAGAGGAAATGCGACAGATGAAGAGTGAAAGTAGTAATGGTTGCGCGACAGCCAATTGGCACGGAAAGATGCAACGTGGAAGCTGACGTACCTGACGGCCCGAGGGTCGTTAGTCAGCCCCGCTATAGCGCCGGTAAGCTACCAGCTGTCCCAAACCTACCTAGGTAACAAACCAGCAAATACATGCTATGCACCCGGTATGGGCCAAAGTAAAGAAATCGAGGTCGGTATCAAACATCATCAGGTTCGGCATTCGTGCGATACGCCCAAGGATGAAACATCAGCTCTCTATAAGAGCTCCAATCTCGAAGATGTGCCATCAGAAACGGGCATCTTGGTGTACGAACTAAGAGTGTGCTATCCGAACTGATACGACTGTAGATATTTGCCGGACTTGGATTCTAGGAGCACGAGTGTTGGGACACGAAAGACATCAAGCAGCGACGACGATCGCAACGTCGCTGTACACAGGGTGATGGAGGCACGGGCAATTAAAGGCTGCTGCAAAGCAGATGACGATCGTGAGAGTGATGATATCTTGTTCACAGCCCACAGTCCACAGCTTGCAACTAGCTCTATACATTCCTGAAGAGCAGCATGTAAGCAAACACTATGCGAGGAAGTCTATAATGAAGGACCAATAGCTTGATCATTATAGGAAAATATGTTGGGCCACCGCGTCTACCATAAATATACAGGCTTTCAAGATGACAATGTGTAATCCATTTCAAAATGCCTTCCCAAACGCCCCCGCTGTTTACACTGATATATACGATGAAAAAGGACATGGCGTCCAAAAGATCTAAGGTACCGAAATGATTGCGATTGAAGCGCCAGCATGGAGGGAAGCAAGCTATGCTTCTTGTCCATCCGCCTGCGCAGCGCGTTTGTCATCTTCGTCGATATATACTGTGTTGTATGAGCGTCAACCATGCAATGGGGATGTGTTTGCAACTTACCATGTGGACGAATAAACCAACTGCACACAAACGCGGTTCCAAAGGTTGCCGCAAGACACACAAAGACAGTTTGGCGGTATGTCCCAACAGTCGCACTATAGATGCCATTGAAGATAGTTGGACCTACCACACGTGCAACGGCGTGAAGTAGACCTGTTGCACCTAGCAATTGACCGACTTGATCTTGCGGTACGTGTTTCGTCAACGCAGCACCAAGCGTGGGTGAACCGATACCACCAACAGCAGCGATAGCTCCAGAGAGCGCGAATAGTTCGCCCTTGCGGGCAAGGGCATAGCCAATGAAACCAGCCATGTCGAAGAAGATAGCGGCTCGAATGACGGAAAGATCGAACAGATCAGAGCCCGAGCTGCGCAGACGCGCCGCGCCATTCTTACCGCGGAAGATGCGCGTTAGAATAGGCAAGATGACGAGAAGAGCGAACACACGGGAGCTGTTCACAATGGTGGTAAAACGACCAGACTCTAGTTCGTGCCAGTCAAACTGCCGGCGAGTGTAGACCAACACAACGCTCATGGCACCCATTGCGACACCAAACATGATGGTATCTGTGGCGGCTAACAAAAGGAGATTCCAACGCACAGCAGACGATGTTCCAGAGCCAGTTGGCCAGAGGATCTTTAAAGGACCAAAGAGGTTGACGGAGCGTAATTGGTTAACGAAATCTCCAGCAGGACCTTGTCGTTCAAGTTCTTCCCTGCGCTTCTCACGCGCAGCTTCCTGGCGTGCTTTGCTGAGGGATTCGGGAACAAGGAATGTGAGAAACGCAATGAAGATCAAATGAGCACCGAGAGCCATGTAGAAGATGAGCAAGACAGCTTCAGTCTTGCCAACGTACTTCTGGCGCGCATTGATGATGTATCCAGCCAGTGCAGGCCCAATGGCGATACCACCGAACAGACAAGCGTGAAAGTATGAAAAGGCAACGTTCCGTTTCTGTGGTGCGACGCAATCGGATGCGTAAGAGTGCGCGCATGCCATGCCGACGATAAAGGATCCTGATATGCCTTCCAAGCAGTAGCCGACAAGAATCCAGTTGACGTGTACAGTCTCAGGAAACTTGGCTGCCAGTATGGTGAGCACCTCACCGAAAAGCGCACCACAGGTGTTGGCAATCATGAACTTCTTCCTTCCATACCGGTCCGAGAGCGCACCAATCTTTGGGCTTATGATAGCAGAGAGTATACCGGAGCACAAGCTGGCGTATAGAAGGAAGAGCGATGAGCGAGAGGAAACGGCGTCGTTTTGGCATCGATCTTGCCCCGGGTCCATGGGTGAGGATATTGGATCGGTCTCCAGAGTGGCGTAGTACTCTTCGCACACCAAATCCATAATCAGGTTGATTTTGGGTACTATGATGCCACCGAAGGCTATGGTGAACAGTAGGAAGGGCGGCAATAGCCAGAATATCTGTGACCGTCAGCCAGTGATTTCTGAGTGCAGGGACTCGTTACGCGTACCGAGGGCCGCTTCCACCAGGGAAGACCTCGAAAATCGGCGTCTCCTGCCCATTCTTCTTCTCCTTCGTTGTCAATTCCATCGCTATTCGCACCCCCATTGTTGTGCCTCGAAGAACCCAGCAGCGGCGCGTCTTCGTTATCGCTGTCGGGTCCTGAAGATCTTGCCCCTGACTTGTTCGCCTTCTTGAGATTCCTGACGCGCGCTCTAAACTCCTGCTCCACCTCGATATCCTCAACAAAGGCGGCGTCTGTCGTGGAAGCCATCTCGAATCGCTTGTGTTCTCCAACTCTTGTCGCGTCGTGTGTTTTTGCTGTCGAAGGTGGGGATCCGGGGTATCGTGGGGCGCTGTTTGATTCACGACCGTGTGCGCATTGCTGTAACTCGACTACGTCTCCAGTCAGTCTTCCCCTCATTAGGTGACACGGTGATGGGCGAAGAAACGTCGCGCCTCGCTAGTTGCAAGCTGATGACGGCGATTGTAATCATCTTCGGCATCGGGTACAAGTGCGAATTCAGCTTACCAAGAATAGAACGCCTCAAAGCCGCCAACAATCGCGACGGTCAGCAGTAAGAAGGAGCGGAGAACGTAGTCAAGGTCGTGTTTCAACACTTTGTCCGCGACATTACGTCCGCTAGCGCTCCTCCACAAAAGGGCTGACAGGGCGAGACTTTTGCGGATTCGTCGTAGATACAGGATCATGACGTTGCGATACTTGATTATCAGATCCCACGCGATCGGCATTTCGGGCGCGTTAGTCCTCCGCGGGCACTAGTGCATATACGTCCGAGTGCCATGGACCAATGTCTTGCTTGCTTTGGAATGTGGCTTTCGCAGTCGTTCTTTCGCTGGCGAGACATGTTGAGGAAAGCCATGTCCTCTGCATTTATCTTATCATCATCGACTGATGCACAGACAGTAGCGCTTCGAACACGCTGGACGAACCTGGAGATATGGAAGAGACACGTGACCTCCTAGCTAGTCTCCTAATGTTCGAGCATCTGTATTTCATCAATAACCAGACCATATGTTTGATGTTTCCGTAGGTCACATTCACCGAGAGATACGAGAAGCACATTGAGACAAACATCTACCATGTTTCCTTCTTATTACTGACTTAGGCTATTTCTCCAAAGCTCAATTACACCCTGTAGATCTTTCAGCCGTGCAGGCCTGACAAGGTAATTATCAACACCGGACTCGTATGCTGCATTACGATCTTTCCCACTCACAAGCCCAGTTAGTGCGCATATGTACGTCCTATCACGCTTCAATCGTGCTTCCATCTCACGAATCTCCCTCGCTACATCGAAGCCCGAGACCTCTGGCATCGAGAGATCGAGGAAGATCAGATCAAAAGGTTGCGCAGCTTCACCGTTATTCGGTTCCATGGCGCTTTTGAATGCATCAATGGCTTCCTGACCACCACCTACAGACGTTGCAGGCTTTTTGCTACATTTGCGTGCATACATGGTAAGCACCTTGAGATTGACAGCGTTGTCGTCGACAAGCAATAGTTTCGGCTCCGCTGCGAGTGCTTTCAATGGCGTAGTCAACTTCGGCTGTTCTACTTGCACTGTCTGTAATTGTATGTTCTGTTCTGGTGGCCGTGCTTCGATGGGCTCTCTCGATGCTTGTACCTCTGGAGTTCTGGACTGGGTGGCTGCTGGCATAGACTGTGGATGCACAGCGCTTTCTTCGCCGTCTGATTTCGGGTTTTCTTCGAGCACTAAACCTGACAGTGATGATATCGGTGGGTCGTCGGATGTGTCGTTTGTTTCCACACTCGACTGATTGAGGTTTCCTCTGCCCAATGGCTTTTGACGTCCCGTAGTTACTGATGTAGCGTCGGAATGGCGACGAAGCTCGGGAGATGAGACTATATCAGGGAACAAGTGCGCCAGCGCACCTTGAAGTTTTGAAATAGTCACTGGGCCAGTAATGGCTGCGATCTTTTCAGAAGGCGTTGTGTGCGGGCTGAGCGCGGTTTGCATATCTGGATAAAGCAAGATACGCTCAGCGTCGCTGTACGTGCCACCGTAGGTCAGTTTTGCGCTCTCTTCGTCTTCTTTCAAAGCGATAAGCAGCCGCGACTGCGAATTCATGCTTGCAATCTCCCAAGGAATGACCGTGATACGAAACCACCGTCTTAGACCTTGCGTAAGCGAATCTAGTAGTAATCCAAGTCGCCGTTGGTCTCTCACTCCATCGCCCGTCTCCCACCGTCTTGGGGTGAAAAGACTGATCACTAGCTGAGGCAACTCAGCAGTACTAGATTGAGTGTCGATGTACTCTGCTGCACTATCCAGTGGTCGGTGCAGCAATTGAGTCGATGGGAGTCTAACGGTGAAAGTAGAACCTTGCTTCTTGCTCGACTCGATCTGTACATCGCCATCAAACATAGTGACCGTCTGCTTGACTATAGAAAGTCCAAGACCAGTACCCTCGGTGACAGGATTTTCTTGAGAAAACGGATCAAAAATCGAATGGCGAATAAAGTCCGAAGCTATGCCCTGCCCAGCGTCCGTGCAAGAGACACTAATGGCATCATCCGTGATGTTCAATGAAACTCGAACACAGTTTGTCGACTCACCAAACTTCAAGGCATTGTTCTTTTCAGTGTTAGTATGGTTTATATAGACATGTTTGTTGAGTAACTTACCATAAAGTTAGTTAAGATTACGCGAAAGCTACCGACAGCCTTCAGGCGGCAGGACCATGTGGCATTCGTATCGAACACTATAATCGGAGGATGTATCGCAACTGTCGAACGTGAGCTTGAGCCAGTCTTTTAGTACGGACTACCAGTGCACTAACCCATGGAGGGCTCAGATTGAACAGCCTCTTTGAGACGTAATCTTTGCGACTCACTATGTATGATATCTTCGCAGATATTAATAGCCTCTACAGTGTCACTCTCCCGTGGGGAAGCTGCCGGCTTGTGTTGTACAAGACTTGATGGATGAACGAGTCCTTCGCTTGGGACATTGGATCCTGTGTGTTCTAGATTATATGATCCAGAGCTTATGTTGCTGAAATAGAGAACACGCTCTATGGTATCAAGTAGTGATAGGCCACTGTATCTCGCAGTTTCTAGTAAGTCGTGTTGGTGTGCATTGTGCGGTATATCAGCTAGAAGCTCAAGGCTTGATAGCATGCCATGTAGTGGTGTCCTCATCTCGTGAGATACTGATCCGAGGAAGTCTGATTTGATCTTGTCCATAGCTTGTGCTTCTAGACGCCGCACTTGCGTCATGATGGTCGTGCAAAACGCAGATATAGACGCAAGATCCGTCGAGCCGAGGTATACCCTAGACTGAGTGTTGGCGAATCCCAATACTGCACCGGTGGTCCGTTCATGGAAGGTGTCCCAGAGCGGCATCAGAACGATCTGTACTGCTCCTGGAAAAGACCTCGACAACTCCATTGATATGACTGGATCATCAACTAGAGCAACGTCACTTGCACTTGTAGCAGCAACAATCTTGCTTTTCTCGTCGAGTACCTGGAAGACAGCCCCCTGAGGAAACAATTCGAGTAGTCGGCTAGTCAATGTATGGCTTAGGCTCTGAGGCTTATGAGCTCTGGGTCCTAGATGCTCTGCTAATATACTAGAGCCATTCCAGGCGGGATTTCTGTTGACGAAGTTACCCGAGGGTCCTGGTTCTTGAATCCGAACTCCATCAAACTCGAAAGCATCGTAAAGCAGCGTCGCTGATAGCTGATATAATCGTAGAGCGGAATCGTTGTACAGGTTTGAGACCAGAGACTGCTGCTTGTCACGACTCTCTGGCAAAGGCTGCTCCTGCGCAGACTCAGCCGCCAGTCCTGCAGAGGAACCCATCCTCAGTAACGAAGCCACACCTTGGTTGAACTTGAGCAATCTTTTGCCTTCCAGCGCCTCTACTGCTTGTTCCAAGTGCCGTATAATATGTGATGCTGTTTCAAACAAGTATGAACGATGAGTCTCTGACAAGCCTTCCTTCGACGGCGTGGAACTGAATATGAATACCGTACCGATATTTGGTCCATCATAAGGATTGAGGGGAACACCCACGTAGTGTCTGAATTTGGCGATGTCGCCCCTTACAAAAGGCAGGTCTTTGGTCCTCTCCGACGCGGCCATGTCGAGCTCTTCATAAATGGCCAAGTTGCCGGGCTGATTCTGGCGTGTGATGGTCCGCTCACACAAACCTCCATGATGGGTAACCGATTCGCATCCATACCATTTCGTTGAATCTTCTATATAAGTTAGATTCTCTGCTAGTGTAGTTCTAGCATGGTATCCAATTCACTTACCCAGTGTGACTTTGGCATCATTCGCATTATCCCGACTGGCCCCCGAGATGAAGTATTGAGTATGGTCGTCTAGCAAGCTGACCATTGCCAAATCGGCGCCCGTTTGATGGATAATGCAACGCAGCATAGCAGCGAGCGCGCCATCCGGTTCATTTTTGATATAACGTCCCTGCCGCTCTGGAAGCGTGCCTGTGAGGCCAGCTTCCGAGCCGCGTACGTATTTGACGACAGATGGCAACACCTGGCAGAAGCGTCTTACTTCCCATACTCGGGTGCGGTCGGTAATGGTTGCTCGTTGTTGCTCACTAAGCTGTGATAACGGCATGATTTGCGATGGCTGTCGGTGAAATCCTCCGCGCGAGCTGCCTGGTGCACGGAGAACCCCGCAGACAAGCGGGGACGATTGTTCTGGTGCCTCGCGCGCGGAGTAACTGAGTGACCCCGAAGTCTTTCCACATTAGAGGGTCCGATACGAAAACCACGGTCGCGCAAAGCATGCGCGTGCCATATATGGTCGACTATGTAAGCGCGTTTATTATGCACGACTCGAGCCGATGTTCGCCTCAATTTGTTGCTTCAGGGTGATGTCATAACAGGTGTTCCACTATTCCCACAATGTTGATACGTTGATCTCTACGAACTTCTCCACTCTCTGAGTCGGAAATCTTCGCGAAGCATCGTCATTGTCCATCCTCTCATCGCAGATATCGGATGTGATATTCAGACTTGAGGTGTCTTGACGTATCTTGTCGTAACATAGCACCCCAGCAGGTCTGCCTCGGACGAAGAATAATTCGGGGCTCCATATCGAGGCGCAAAGCAAGAAGCCAGGCAACGGCTTTCAGCGCGAAGCTAAAACCTCGTTTACTCGCATCAGTCAGTCGCTTAGCCTTATTCAATTCTATACACGAACTATTGCTTGGCCCATATACCTAGGTAGCACTAGGAAATCGGAAAATGCACTTTACATCGCCAAGTACGACATACGGTTTCGGGGTTTGTTTGCGATGTAGAGAGCTTCACATTTGGAGATTGATTGTGGAGGATGTGCGACTAATCTCCGCAACCGAGCTGCGCCGTCAGCCGTCGATCATCGCATCGCACAAACGACTTGTTTCTATCCACTTGAGGACTGGCATGCTTACATCTTTCTGTCTCAATATGATGACCCCACAACTATTGATCAGATCCGGTCAGCTGTTAGAAGGTAGTCATTGCCATATAGCGTCTTCCCAACACGACCTCGGGACGCAACACAGCCACCCAATTCGTCACCAAGTCAAGCAACTCGACCGCGATTATATCTAACTATGCGACATACCAAGAAAAGCTCTTGCGAACATGCGCCCTTTTCCAGGTTGCCTACGGGCGAAAGGCATGTTGCTGACTCTCTGGGAAACCAGGGCGATGTCGCAAGTCATCGTGGCGCGTATTCCTTCTGCAGAGATGGCGTAACACCGTGATCTTCTTGCAAGTAATGGGTTAGCACTGATCTCTCTTTAGGTTCTCTTCGGTTTCCGTATGGTTACTATCTTTCTTTCACGTGTATATTCCGATCTGCGGGTATATCGGTGTGATCTATGAAGCAAACCATTTTCATTGCTAAGAGCGCGATCAAACTCCCAGATGTGTTTACAGAAACTATTGACCACCCGTTCGTTCTGAGCATGAACTATGTAGCATTATACAGTTAGGAATGGTGACGACATCGTATAGACTGCCTTGGGTGGAACGGTCGGCTTGTCGTATAGGAGTGGGTCGAGCGAGTTCGTTACCTTTGGGCCAATCATGACGGCGCAACTCATGTCTCATCTGCCCAGACGACTGCAAAAATCAAATACAAGGTATATCGTTCGACCGCACCTTATCGTCCGTGCACTCGTGAGATAGACTGGGGGCCAGTTTCAGATATCCTGGTATCTATCTTCTCCATTCGACCGTGTTGTAGAGAACAGACCGACAGGTAAGTGCCTAACATACCTGCAAAATGGTCCAGGTACCAGTACTATCGTCTCACAAGAGGACCTGTTTTGTCTGAAGTCCAACAGTTTCTATCGGTTGTTAGCGTACAGCCTTCAGTCAGCATGGAGCTACACGTCCGTAAACTCGAAACGGAGAAGCGAAAGAGGAGGTTGGGAGAGATGCCAACAATCTGCCTCTTGAGCACATGGCTTCCCGGCATCTAGACCGGTGAGTCACTTACTGGGTGTTACCCTATGTCGAAACCTGTTGCCTTATAGAAACATGGTCATATTCCTTCCATAAGCAGTCATGGGTTCGTACGGCACCTGCAAAAGCCCTGATATGCCGTAATTCTACAGTCGAAGACATTGTGCGTTTTCCCCTTTCTGTTCAATGGTTCGCGAACTATAACTGTTACAGTTCGGAAGATGAAAATAGCGCCTCGCGTGCCAATCTGAACCTCTGGATGACAGTTCGCGGCTGAACAGTTGTCATCGATCGTATGTACAGGACTGTCTTCTGATCTCCCTTGCGATTGAAATATCTGAGCGGGTAGCTAAATGGTGCGCGATATTGCGAACGACGAGGGTAAGGAACAGCACAGTGATCAGTGGTTGAAGTCCGAGACGTCAACGTGCACTTGCATGGAGGACTCGCCAGCCCTACGGCAAGCGCACTGTCCCTTTTGGCCCCCAACGCGACCTCGCTTAATAGTTCCTGATTACCGAAATTGCGTGATCACATCATCACAGCCTTGTTGCCTTAGCCAGCCCCTCACTCACCGAACCCTTCTGTAAACGGTAAAGACATTACATTGCTGAGTTCGTAGTACTATTCAGCCCCTTACTGCGTTTGGAATAAACTGATAAAGGAACTTGTTAGATGCGGTGATGGGGACTAAGTTATCAATTGATTTGTAGCAACATTCCCCTTTCCAACACCTACCGTGCATTCTCTTGCTAATAGCCTGTTCTGATGTGGATTGCGCGCAGACCTGACAAAAGCAACTATGTTACATGACTCCCGAGACCGCTCTCTGAACTTGTACATGGTTTCGCTTGTGGATGGCTTTACTGCCTAACTTTGCAAGCGATGACTTGTCCACGTGGTCGTACACCGGGTTCGGCATACAGGGGTCTATCTGGGTTGTTACAATGACTACGTAGGATCTGAGATGATTCCGGAAAGAGCAAATGAGTATGTTGAAACTTGGTAGTTTGACGTTCAAAAGCAAACAACGATATATCCGGTGATCGTATCGTTATTTCGATCAATATGCTAGCCTTCAACAGTCGATAGAAGTGTGCATCGCTGCACATCAGGGAAGGCAGCTAGACCGGAAGTCAATCTGCGCGTGATGTACAACGGTCAGTAGAAGATGTCACAAGATTCCTTGGTAGAACCATACACTCCATAACTGTCGCACTGAATCCGACTTAGTAGTCCAGGACCGAGATACCGGATTACTGCGATAAGCTTGCAATTGAGCTACGTGGGCAGCCTTCTCGGCAACCTAGAGTTATGCATGTCGCTTGCCTGCACGTGCAAGCGCGTATCACTTTACCCCAAGATTCAGTCAGCCTCCTGGAGCTCGCCCCGACGGGGCACTAATCGACACGACTTCCTGCATCAATGATGAATTGGTGGACGCACTTGTGTATGAAGAGTAAACAGCTATTGGACGTGGATACCACTTCAATAAGTGGAGAAGCCACGAGTATCGTTGAGTGCCGCTTTCAGCGGGAGGGCAATCATAGAACCCCGCTCATAATGTTGTACAACACTACCTATTTTACGTGTGCTTCCAGGGGATCGAGGTATGCTACCGTAGCCTCGGCTTCCGAATATACGAAGCTGCACCTTCCAATCATATCGATTATCACATGCAAGACTCTGATTTCTATAGCATGACCGGAGCCATTAGTTATGCAGTCTATATTGGAAGATCACACTCACGGTGACTTGCCTGGTAACAGCTGTGAAGCGTTCTCGTGAACTTTCACATCCATATCAGCCTGATGGGCTTTGAAGTTTAATCATCCAGTTTTGAGAACAATCTAGTAGCACCTTGCTGGTGTAGATCCCTGCTATTGTCTCGAGGCGCAGAAGTATAAGCTGTTTCAGAATATGCAAGCACAACCATGGCAGCAGTAAACCTCCGGGATGACGGGGGCGACGTAGCAACTACGAACGGCCCGCAGGCCGGAAGATTCTCTACCAATGGGAGGCATACTAAGTTTCCACTAAGTCTTTAGAATCCTGTCAAGTCCTGCATATCTGCTCTTACTTTGGACAAGAAGATGTTCCAGCATGCTAGTTGCGTGACTCCGTGTTACTGTAACAATCGTTTTTGACAGAATATCTCAGTAGACTTCGGTCGATCGGTGTCCGATCCCGATAGGTATTGACTGAATGATCGTTCCGCTACCCTCAAGGTCGCTCGCAAACGGAAGCAAACACAAATCTGAGACTCGAGCTGAGTGCTACAAGACTCCAACAGGTACGTTAAGACACAAGATAGAAATGTAAGACAAAAGATAACTCAACCTGATTCCTATCTAATTCTGAGCGCCGGCTGCCAAAACACCTTCATTCCGCTACTGTGGCATAGACAGGCGGGTTCGGGCCTGATTTGGGCCTGACCATTCTCGTTGGGCCTGCTCAACTTCCTTGGTGGCATCAGCCCATCTCGATGAGTAGTAGCATATCAAAACGTCGAAGTCGCGTGGTGTTTCTTTTAGCGGATATTGCCTGAGTAACCTCCACCGATAACGAAACCTTCTCCAATACAATTTTCTTGTATGATCTGATGATCGAGAACCCGGGAATCACAAAGTATCCTTCGCTTTCTGCTTAGCATATTCCAGATCTACAGATATGACTGGACAGTTGTATTCCAATTACTAGCTCTTGTCTTGGTCGATGTGCGTTGGACGTTCTTTGTTGATATCACATCTCGTCTGTCGTCCTTCACCGGTTGAAAACAAGGCAGCAAAAGCGCACGAGCATAGGCCCGAATTGCTGACTCGCCCACTTCTGCCTCATAGCGCCAACACCGCTATCTGAGCGCTAGAGGTGCCATGTGCGAGACTAACATCTGTTGATACAACAGCAGATAGTACGGGAATCTGCATATAAGCAATTGCATGGTCGTTGATACGAATTGCTAATGACACGTGCGGCCTCCCAATTCCTCGGGTACTGCTGTCATGCCTGAACACAGGTGACGTGTGCCTCCTAGTGGTATGGCAACCTTGAGATCATCACTACTCTGCGGGTGGCCGTGCAACGCGCTGGAAAGTCAGTGTATCAGAATCGCTAGAGGACGAAAATGCGTCCTTTCGTCAGTTTCTCGTGATAGATTTCTTGATCATCGGCCAGTCGTGTCGGCTGCCAATCCATTCGTCCTGATCGGAAGGCGACTGAAACCTGTCTCCCTCAATACGCTGCCCTGATTCGAGATCAGCAATTTGGCATTTGCGCCATTCAAGGGGTAGCTTGATACCGAAAGCCCTTCGGGACTTGATTTCGAAGGCGTGGAACACGCAGTGTCGCATGTATCTGCCTGCTGCGGCTGTATGCATATCCTCATAGGCGCCATAGACGCCATCCCAGTCTTCCAGAGATGCCGATGACCACGAAAAGCGAACGTATGTCTTGGGTGTGTTGACCTTGGAGCGATGAGAGGTTGCTGAATGAGCTGAAAGAACGGTAAGCGGCGCACCCCTTCTTGTAGTGAGCTGAGTAAAGCACCCTTTCTGAGGAAATGGTCAATTCTGGTCATCACGGGAATGCCGTGTTCATTACTGTGCATATTCGGCGGCGAGTGGAAGCTGCTTAGGAAAAACGAACCGTTGTTTGCAACGATGACCAGCATGGAAGCTAGAGCATTACGATCGCCTGGCGCAACCGATACCACAGGCATGGAACCAAAGATTGGCCAGGCCATTTCCGGCATCCTACCACTTTTAGAATTTGGCACACAAGGCTGCGAAACCTGTTGTCTACTTATTATGCATTGGGTACCTCATAAATCCTTTGCAACATACCCTGCGAGATTTTGGTATCTGGCCCCTGCTAAACCTCTTTATAAGATTTTCGTGTGATTAGATCCGTGTTAGTCTCGATGCGCACTATAAATCGAGGCGGCTGTTGTGGGGCGTGAGTATGCGGCTGAGAGACGCCAGTGTAGATAAAGCGAGCGCGTTGCATGCCTGCTTTGCCTACTTCACTGAGAATGATTTCAGGCAACAGGGTCCTTCGTTAGATACATGGTTGGCTTTGAGTCCTCCCAAGGATGTGGAAGTAGGGTTGCTTGCGGCCTCCGGGGTGTGTGGCCGCATCCGTGACCCACCACTGGGATCTTACCCCGTGCAACTGACGCCTTGTTGCCTGCTTCGCAATTTTGCGAACTAACGTTTAAGACCTTGAGGCTCTGCTCGTCCCCTCTTCTCGAACAAATACATCTGCATTCAAGGATCGATGCGAATACTAAAGGCTTCTCACATTCCCTCCAGACCCCACAGCCGCGACGCCGCCACTTTGGTTGACTGACAAGTTGCGTCAGTGCAAAGGTAGAGCACAACCCACAATTCGCGTGTATGCCTTTCTGGCCCCCAAACTGATACTGAATCTTGGTCAGATTGATGTGCGATATCGCGCAATAACAGCATCCGACAGATCCTGCGTGGAATTCGGAGTCGAAAGATTCTTGCCACGCCAGAACCTGAGTGCGCGGCGCAAGACGGGAATGTGGGGATCTACACAACCAATCTACAATTCATCTGCGTCTTTCCTACCAAATTCCTGGCGCATACGACATCCCGAGTACGAAAGAGAGAGTTATACCTGAATATTTTGGTCACATAATGGATACTGGTGAATTCGTTCAATCGAAGTTCGCTCAGGCGCTCAAAACTCAGAGCCCAGCCAATAGGCCCCACCCTTGTCCTTACCCAGGACACGAGGGCCGGATTTTCCCAACCGCTGAGCAGCTATATGACCACGGAAGGATAGACCATCGTGCCGATTTTGATGGATTGACCTCGAGACAGGCACGAGACAAGTTCCGAGAGCTGAGTCTAAAGTTCAGGTCAGTTTGCACAGATTTACAATGTACAGCACTTACTGGATCAACGATTAACGTGGTTAGAAGGTCGGATCACTCATCAGCTGCAACTGCGGGAGATCGTTCAGCACCTGATATTGGAGGCCTTACTATAGATTCAGGAAAGGGCTCACGACAAAACTCGCCACCTTCCGGTAGAAAACGACCGGCAGAGCAAGAGTTCACTAGCCCAAGGGGAAAGGGTCCTTCTCACGTGGAGGTGGTCGATTCGGAGTACTCGAGACAGATCCCTCATACTGTTGTATCGGATCGGACACGACCGAAACCACAAGATGCACGCCTTTTTGACCCTAAGCAGAGCACTAAAGGTACTCCATCCCCGTATCAGACAACGCCTGAGCCTTCCAGCGAATGGTCAGTGGAAGCTACAAAGGGTAACCAATTACAATCGTCGCATCCTCAATCCCCTGCGCATTCAACACAACGATCTATTCCTAAACCTCAGCAATCTCAACGCCAACCAGGCCTTATTGAGCTCCAACGCTATGATCCTCGGTATCCAGGTCTGCTATTGCAACCAGATAGTAGGCCTATCTCTCAAGAGCAACTTGCATCTGAAGTGAAATCAATCTATGCAGGGTTAACTATGGTGGAAACTAAGTGTATACACGTTGATCGTGCACAAGCTGCAGCTGCGCAAGATAGCGATACCAAGCTTGCATCCGATCATTGGCAGGCATTGATTGCTCTTCACCGTACTCTTTTACACGAGCATCACGACTTTTTCCTAGCTAGTCAGCATCCTTCCGCATCGCCAGCTCTTCGGCGTCTTGCAGCTAAGTATTCCATGCCTGCACGTATGTGGAAGCATGGGATTCATTCTTTTTTGGAGTTACTTCGGAGGCGTCTTCCTGATAGTATCGATTATATGCTGGCGTTCATATATTTGGCGTACCAGATGATGGCGTTATTATACGAAACCGTTCCGGCTTTCGAAGATACATGGATTGAATGCCTGGGAGATCTTGGACGCTACCGGATGGCTATCGAAGACGAGGACGTCCGCGACCGTGAGACCTGGGCAGGTGTTGCGCGCTCTTGGTATACTAAGGCTGCTGATAAGAATCCTACTGTGGGTCGATTGTATCATCATCTGGCTATTCTGGCGCGGCCCAATGCACTTCAGCAGATGTACTACTACTCCAGGTCTTTGACTTGCGTCAAACCATTCCAGAGCGCACGGGAATCGATCTTGACTCTGTTGGACCCGATTCTTGGTCGTGCAGGCGCCACTCTTACGCATGCTCTAGCGATCGATACCAGCTTCATCAAAGCACACGGTCTGCTGTTCGAAAGGTCTACAGTAACGGAGTCCAAAGGTCAGGACGAGTTCCTCAAGGCAAAGGCAGAGTTTATCGGAAATTTGGACAATCACATCGGGCGTGTGACAGCGAAGTGGAAGGAGCAGGGTGTATACATTGCAGTGACCAACATCGCCAGTTGGTTTGAATACGGGCTCAACGAGAACATTCTTCGCCAGGCTTCCCTCCATCCAATCAACCTGAAGGCACAGGACTCCTCTCAAAGCGCTGCTGAAGACAAGATCCGGAGTACATCTGCAGCTGACCAACAGAATCCGACGAAGCCAATATTAAGTGAGAAAGATATTTCAAAGGCACTGGAAGGAGACGAGGCACACGGAACAACGCCATGGGCAATGCGTGGCACAATCCCTAACGCCAAACTAATTACCTACGAGACATTTGCTCTCGTCCTTCGCCGTATTGGCGACAAGAACGTGCTTCCTCACGTACACATCATGCTCGCTTTTCTTTCCAGCTTCGCTTCTAGTAAATACGTTTCCGATCTTATCCAAGATGCGCCTTGGACTGAACTTGTTGCATTTCTGAATACGTTGGTCAAGACTGAAAACCAAATCCAAAGTCAGTCGCAAACGCAAACACCAAGCATCGATACCTTGCTGGCTTCCGATGTATTCCCTGGAGAGGGAGAGAGGGGCGACGAGCTACCGCTACCGGAAGATTACCTCGTACGAGGCTTGATCTGGGCGGATGAATATTTCCCCAAGAAGTGGTTTGAAAGAGAGCACGATGAGGAGGAGCGATATCTGGAATTGGCAAGTACAGTGAAGAGTCGTATGGAGAGGGTATTGAGGCTAGGTTATTCTATTGCGAAGGCAAGTGTTTTATAAGTGCTACCACGCGCTTCCACTCTAACTGCCGTATAGCACCAAACTTGGATCACATACGACAAAGACTCGCATACATTCTCCGTCAGTCGTCAATGACACTAGACGTCGGACGCCCTGAAACAACATCTTTATTACGTTTAATTACACGCAGCACACGGTACACATATGTCGGTCATTCAAAGCGACTCTGTCCACTCTCTCCACATTATATTCTCATCTTTGTGAGTAATGCGCGTCTGGTGTTGACAATACGTTGGTGGTTGATGGCCCTCCTGTTGCAACCATCAGCTAAAGCGTTCAGAAAGGCAGGATTTCAGATTGAGATTTCCACTACTTCTGACCACGCGAGTAGTCGTGTTGCGCAACATCTGGTAAGAAATAACCGAACTCGTTTGCGGAAAGAAGAAAAGTTCGGAACAACTGTTTGCTACTATTTATATACGTTCATTGTCGAGTATACCATGGTCCAGCACAATAGTATGAGCAAAAAAGAAGAGGAAAGGCGATTGCTGATCTTTGCCGGGCCATGGTCGTTTGCAAGCGAATTACGTGAAATACAATACACGCTATACGTCCTTACGTTGCTTTTCTCTTCAAACTCAATGGAACACGTGTCAAGCCCACAGAATGATCTAATGAAGCTCCATGCTGGTCACACCACTCTGCGCCCCTGAGCAAATCTGCAATGGCACCGCCTGTCTCACACTCTCATCAGTGTACAAAAACAGCTTCATCAAGACATCGCCTGTGAGGAAGACATCGTATAGATCAGGTGAACTACCCCACCCAAGATTGATGTCGTCTTTGGAGGTTCCAGGATTTCCGGGTTGAAAGTGCACGACGTCGTAACCAGTGGTATCACCCCATCGCTTGACCTCGTACTTTCCACGCTTGTTCTTGTAAACGTGCACGTGGCCGTCTTGAATATTGTAACAAAGAGACTTGACGCAAAAGGTTGTCTGGACCTTCTCGTCAAAAGGAGGAGGCATCCTTGTGGCACATGCTGAACAAGCATCGTACCAGTCTTTTATTTTGTCACCCATAACAGATTCTGTACGAACTGGCTTCATGGGAAGTCTGAAAACTGGGGTTGTATCCGATCCGTTGCCACGGCCTTTTGCGCCAGGAACATGGTAGCAGTCTAACATATCGACCATGTAAAACCATGCACAAATGCACATCCTTGTTCTGTACAGGCTCATGACCTGATACAAAAGTTCTGATCTCGAAGTGCGATAGTCTACTTTGATACTTGACGCGTCTGAAGCAAGGGAAAGAAGCGAGTAGACTCTGTCGTGAACGTAGTAGCTTTGCCGACCGGGTAGGCGAGTAAACCAGCTGATGAGTTTCGATTCGCTGGGCTTTCTTTGTGGATTGCCTATAGCACTCATGTAATACTGGAACACGCGAGTTTTGACGTCAAAGTTCTTAGGATCGATCATTGCATTGCCTTTGAGATCGTTGATGTGCCTACGTTGGTTGACGGCACATGCAGCAATCTGCTTGAGAGTGACTTCGAGGTTGTTGACGAGGAACTTGACATTTCGAGCGAGCAAGATCTCTTGTGTGATCCATGCGCGGGTCCAGTATCGGTCTTTGAGAACCGCGTACCAGTCTCTTTTAAGTTGGCCATTGGTCTCTTTGTTCCGTTCAAACCATCTCTTTTGTTGGTCTTCCAACATGTCCCATGTCCCATATCTAGGATCCTTGCTCAACTCCAGTGCAAATGCAAATGCTCTTCCGATACTTTGACTGAGCCCAAGCCAAGAGATAACTTCAACAGAGTTTGCGTAAATGGAACCCATCTGTGCTACCTGGTGATTTTTTTCATAAACGGAGTCCTGGTCGATACACAGAGCGTCGATCCAGAGAATTCGTGGTGAATTTGCGTATTTTGATCGAGCGACTTGCATGAACTCGAAAAGATTTTCGCGTATCCATAGAAGCCTGCCGTTGACCAGGATCTGCCGCTGTATGTTCTCCGGACCCCAGACGTATGAAAGACAGGTGTAGCTTGCCTTAACGCTGTCATGCCACATTTCACATTGAATGTGCCCGTTATTTGAAAGGTTTGGAAGGATTTTGAGTAGTCTAATAGCATTTCTCCTGTAGTCAAGCGGTTCGTGTTGAAAGGATGTGGTGCGGGATGCACCTGAAGCATTTCGTGGGTTTGTGGCTACCATGGCTTTTGCGAAGCAAGCGGGAATGAAGTTCGTTTGAGAAGTTTTGGAATGCTAGACACAACACCACAGTTAACTCCAGTTATCTATGAATTTGACTGGCGCGTCTACGTCGGGCTGATCAACGTAATCTGTATCGCGCGCATAATGCCACGAGCCAAGGGGTCTTCGAAGGTCTAACAATACAACAACCAAATCGGGACTGAGGCTCGTTATTGGTCCCATAGCCATTTCGGATCTACCTCGCTGTGTTATCTGGGTATCATCAAGCGCCGGGACGCTTGCTACGCGCTCTATCAGACTTTCAATTCCGGCGCTTAGCAATCGAGTTCTTGGGTCGTGTCAGATACGAGCGCGTCAAAGGCTTGAGCAGAAAGTGCGGCATGACTGCTATAATCGGGCACACACAATCAGAAGTCCATGCATATCTTATAGGTCGATATGCGCAGCAAAGTCTTCGCGAAGTTAGGTTGCACGATAGTTGTGAGGTTCATTTCAGGAATGAACGCTAGCGCAACACATCCTACAGCGACCCCACAAATTACCACATGCGAAGTTACACGTGATCACGATAGGCATCACGTCTGGCAGCCGTCCATGCCTCAAAATATGTTCAGTCTTACATATGGTCATGTTGGTCGTAGTTGATAGTACACCTACCAAAAACATGCACATGTAGAATCTCCGTTATTGGAAGTGCATACCAGTTCTACTCCCCGCAATCCAACGTACCTAAAGACCTTGAGTCCCTAAGTAGCGAACCATCCGTCTTTCCCACGCTCCTTGCCTACGCTTACCATAACTTCCGTTGCATAAGAATTTTCAAGACGTTGATCAAGAGACCATGTCTGCTTTACTGATACTGCGGGATAGAAAGGATATTATTCGACAGGATCAGCGAACAGGTCGGAAGTGTACTTTGAGTGATCATTCTGAGGAGCGAGATGGGCTTCGTCATGTTATGCAATCTGAGATGGCAATAGTGAAGAAGAGATGTCGAGAATACTCCTTTGCTCTTGAACAGTAGTCGTATTATATCCCGCATCTCTTGGACTGCTCACTCGTGTCTTTTCTTTTGCACTCTGGCAGGGATCGCGACAGCCATACACTAGTAGTCCTGCCTACGCGAAGATGGTGTAGCATTCGCGTGCTCACCCCGACTCTCTGGTAGTTCACGGTGCATCAGCGAGTGCGGCTTACGAGTCGCAGCGAAGATAACCGCAAACGAGGCTTCGTGTAGCGAATTGAGATGTGTTGGGCGGCTTGTTCGCATCGATAGGTGTTGAGTCGGAGAGGATCGGGATGTGTTGAGAATTGGCGTTGGCGGACCCTAATCGCTTAGCGCGAAAGCGGATCCCCGAGCTGGCGGAGCTGAGCAACTTTTCGAATCAACACCCTCAGCAGTCAACCTCACGGCATACCCACGCCTCTCCCTCCGCTCCTTCCCCTCACACCTCACAATGCTGTCCAGGACAATTAGGCGGAACATTGCGTCGCCCTTCCGACGCAATGTCGTCGCCCCCGCCGCGCGACCCGCCTTCAGCAGGTTCGTGACCACGGATGCGGCCTCATCGCACACCGACCCGGCCAACGTGCCATCGGTAAGACGACACCCAGAAATGCTGATAGAGTGGCTGTAGCCACGGGACAGATAATTGACCGTCTGCAGGAGGATGACAAGCCCTTCGAGATCCGCCTCTCCGACGAGGCCTTTGAGACGTACGAGCTCGACCCGCCGCCATACACAATGGAGGTTACCAAGAAGGAGCTGAAGAAGATGTACTACGACATGGTCGCCGTGCGGTATGAAACACCACAATTGCAGGATTTGGCTACAAGCAGGGTCTAATATCGAACAGACGCATGGAAATGGCCGCCGACAGACTCTACAAGGAGAAGAAGATCCGGGGTTTCTGCCATCTGTCCACCGGTCAGGAAGCCGTCGCCGTCGGTATCGAACACGCCATCGAGCGCGCCGACCATCTTATTACCGCCTACCGTTGCCACGGCTTCGCTCTGATGCGCGGCGCAACCGTCAAGTCCATTATCGGTGAACTCCTCGGCAGGAGAGAAGGTATCGCTTACGGAAAGGGTGGATCTATGCACATGTTCGCCCCCGGTTTCTACGGTGGTAACGGTATCGTCGGTGCCCAGGTTCCCGTTGGAGCTGGTATTGCCTTCGCATGCCAGTACGAGAACAAGAAGAACGTCACCCTTGCTCTCTACGGAGACGGTGCCTCCAACCAGGGTCAGGTCTTTGAGGCTTTCAACATGGCCAAGCTCTGGAACTTGCCCGTCATCTTCGGTTGCGAGAGTGCGTATACCCTTCGAAGGAGCATGCTGCGATTTTGCTAATACCCCTCAGACAACAAGTACGGTATGGGAACCGCTGCCAACCGCTCGTCTGCCCTCACCGACTACTACAAGCGTGGACAGTACATCCCTGGTCTGAAGATCAACGGCATGGACGTCCTCGCCGTCAAGGCCGCTGTCAAGTACGGAAAGGAGTACGCTGCTGCTGGCAAGGGTCCTCTCGTCTACGAATACGTCACCTACCGTTACGGAGGACACTCCATGTCCGACCCTGGAACCACTTACCGAGTGAGTCACACCGCAGTGCCGAATTCTAGAGCGTATATTAACAAGCATTGATAGACCCGTGAGGAGATTCAGCGCATGCGCAGCACCAACGACCCCATCGCCGGACTCAAGCAGAAGCTCCTTGACTGGGGTGTCACTTCCGAGGAGGAGCTCAAGTCCATCGACAAGCAAGCACGCTCCGACGTCGACGAGGAGGTTGCCATCGCGGAGAAGATGGCC